TCCCGCATACTCGAAAGCTTTCCTTCGCCACGGTGGGAATTTCGCGCAGCGGCCCAACTACTCGGCGAAAACCCGAATCCTGACCTCTCGCCGAGTCGCGATAATTGTCGGGAGAATAAACTTGAATTTTTCACCCGGGTTAAAACCATCAAAAGCCACTCCACCGTGTCTCTACGCCAATGTTTGCGACCGCGGGGCGAGAGAAGTTTTTAATTGGCCACCCTTAATTAGTTAACCAGCAAAGTCTCGGTAATTATTCTGTTTCTCGCTCCGTTTCCGTACGCTAACTCTCCGCGACCGTTCGTTTCGTCCCGCTCCATCCCTCGTGTTCTCCCTCTCGACTTCCGTCTCCGCAGACTACCCTCGCGACTACCTATGCTCGCCCGATTTCACCACCAAGAGAATGCAAATGATACTCGGCTATCTCCGCCATTCTTCCGCCTTGCGTTTCAGCCAATCGAAGAAACGAATTGGAATGGTCCAAAGGTAACCAGCCTGAACAAAAATCTCCGAACTTACCTACACAAACTCCGTGCCTAATTTCTACACAGAACCACAAACCACAAATAAAAATTACACAAAAATCCAGGCTCGGTAAATTCCGAAGCTCCGTTTAGATCTCTGTCTAGAGCACGCGTTCGTCGACCGTTTTGCAGCCAGCTACCAGGAGATCTACAACGTCGTTCGTTTTCTGTTACAGAAGGAAGCAGACAGATCGGTCCTCACGCTTGTGCGGTCTGCCAGAGCGTGGTCGAAGGGAATACGCAAAGTCGGGCGTTGCCGCGCGGTCAAGCGTTGCAGTACGGGTTGCGAGAGGATCAAATCGCGCCCGGTGCACGCGTGTGCAATACCTGCAGATGCAAAGCGGTCAGGGGACGGTACACGGCGTGCCCGCTCCCGGGTTGCCCGAACCTGAACAACGCCAGCTCGAAAGCCAGGGTGAAGCGACTGAGAGCCTTGCCAGTCAAGTGGCTCGACCTGCCAGCTGAAATTCGCGACCCAATCGTACAAGAGTTTCGTGAGTAGAAATCTATTCTTGCTTGAAACGATAACGATCGTCCGACCTGGTCTACGAGATACAAAAGTATCTTGTTCGTTTCTTGATACCTTGTTCTATCTTGCAGAAATCCCGAGCAATGCCACGAAATGTTGCTCGGCTTGTTTCAATCGTATATCTCGACGGCTGGCGCCTCACCTGACCGGCGGTGCCGAAGTTGCCGAGGACACGGCGGATTCCCTGGCTCGGCAATGGACGGACGAGGAATTGGAACATCTGAGGAGAGCTCTTCGCGAACACGGCGCCAACTGGGTGAAGGTCGCCGAGCAGATACCGGGAAAGACGAACCATCAATGCAAAAACTACTACCTGGCGTATCGGAAAAAGTTGAGCCTGGACCAAGTGGTCGCCGAGTATCATCAGTCCTTGGGCGAGGAGAGAAGACCTTGCTTGACGGACGAGGAAGAGAGCGGTAGTAGCACGAGCAGCTGCGACGAACTCACGGTAAGCGTCCATTCATCTATCGATCGTTCGACTTTCAATCGTGTTCGAGCTTATCCGTTCATTGTACCTTTTCCTTTGCCTCAAGGTTCACGATTCGAGCGACACAGCCAGCGCGGGAAGTCCAGCGAACAATATGACGAGCGCGATACCAGGAACGCCGAGCGTTTCCGCGTCTGCTACTCTGCCTATATCCTTTACGCGATCGGCAGACCAAAAACTTGGTGAAAAGCTGCCGGATATAGCCGTGGTGTCTCTGGTACCACCGGTGAGCCTAGGCTCGTCGCAACAGTCTTCCACCAGCGGAGGTAGCAACGCTGCTTCCGCTGGCACTAGAGAAGATTACGATAGTTCTGCCACGGTAAGTGGAAGCTTCCCTTTGATCGCAGGGACAAAGGGACCGAAAATCGACACGTTTCAGAACGTTTCTATGATATTAATAGTTTGTTGTGATGTGAATAGTTCCCTTGAGTTTCTTTGTTCTGTTTCGATAGTTGGATAAGAAAGAACTTTGTCTCTCGATAGGGCCGTCTGATAGAGGTTCGATGATTGTTTTCAGGAGACGGCGGACGAGGGTCAGGGTGGTGCCGATTTAGAAAATAGCAGCGTCGTTGTGACCTTAACTACTGCCAATAATTCAACGTCGCTGCAGCAACAGCATCAGCAACCGCATCAACAAGTCCCGCCGTCATCTCACTCGCCACCATCCACTGCAAACAATTCCAATCCCCTGACCGTTAAAGATCTTATGCTCGGCGTCATCGAGATGCAATTGAAACGGAATCCCAACAGTCCGGCCGGGACCGGCGGATCGTCGATACCTGTAAATTCCGGAACGCCGACGATATCTAGTATATTAAAAACAGATCACCGGAACGACATCACTTTTGTACGAGAATATAAACCGTCGAGTTCCATGGCGAACACCGCCATGCCTAGGGATTCGAGTTTGGCGACCCTGTCGGTCGTGTCTGGTCCTCATCACGCGCATCGTTCTGCTCCTAGTCCGCAACAAATTGGTAAGTTCTCTTGGCGATGTCGGTCTTGGATTGCGTCGGTCTTGCTTCGTGTGTGAATTATTTACACGTCGCCTGTGTTTCCCTAGGTCAAATGCAAGCAACGATTACTCCCTGTCCACCGACGGCGTCGAGCAGTCAATCTTCATCGGATCTGCTTCCAAAAGAAGGATTGGTCGTGATGCAGGTGCAACAAGCGCTACGCGAGAGCACCGAGGGCACCCTCGACCTGAGCATCAAAAAGCCAAGGCAACAACAAGAATACAACCATTCCTTGCAGACGCTTCACAAACCACCGACGGTCACCCTGTACCGACCGGAACCACCGTCGGGCGCTTACTATCATCCCCATGCTCACCCTGAACAAGGACGCGGCGCGAAAAGTCCGCTCGTCTACGTATCGTCGCCGCGACCTCAAGCGCCTCTTACACCTAAAATGAACAAAGTTGCCGTGCCGCCGCCTCATCCGAAATTGTCACCTAAGTTGAGCGCCATGGGGACGACGGGTCACAAAAGCGGCTCCATCACGCACGGTACACCCGTTTCCAGCGCTCGTTACGAGGGTCTCCTTCGGCAAATGACACCCCCTGGAAACCCTTGCAGCGTCGCTGGTACGCCGAGCGTTCAAAGCGGTTCAAATGCCGTGAACGCTCCCAGCAACCAAGGACCCAAAGAAACAGGATCCATAACTCAAGGTACACCGGTACATCCTTTCGCGGTGGACAAACGGGCACCCATGTACGACTACCATAGAACGATTAGACACTCACCGGTGACGACGGGTAACATTCCTGGACAAGGTCAAGCCCAAGCAGGAACAGCGGCGGTCGTAGTGACTCATAGCAATCAATACAACTCTTACTCGGGTCGGCCACCGCCCAGCTACACGATGGAACAGCAATTATCATCGAGACAAATTATCATGAACGATTATATAACCAGCCAACAGATGCATGCGCGTAGTCGAAGTAGCGGTACGAACGAAGGTGGTAGCAAGAACGAGGCGCCCTCGACGTTGTATTACACGAGTACTCCGCCGCCGCCGCCGCCGCAAACGCATACACAGCCTCGGCAGGGTGTCATACAAAGGCACAACACGCAAAAACAAATTCATTATCCGCCTCCGCCGCCGGGACTGGAGGCCTTTTCTAGTTTAGTAGACGTCGCTGTGCAACAACCAAGTCTTCCGGTTCCTCATCCGCATAGTCATCCCGCGTCTGGAAGTAGCAGTCACGAGGGTCTCGGTAAAACGATGGCGGACAGGCTGTTGGCCGATCGCTACGCGGACAAGCATCGTCTGGCGATGCATCAAGCCGATCACAGAATGGCCGTGGCGCACCATCATCAACGCGATAGAGAAAGAGAACGGGATTTGGCTCATTTACGGGAGAAAGAAGAGTACAGGCTGCAACGGGAGAAGGAAATTATTCAACAGCAAGAGCACAGAATGCAACAGAGGGAAAAGGACGCGCAGCACGCCGAGCATAGGTTATCGATACAGCAGCGAGAAAAAGATATACAGCAACACACCGACCACCGTCTGACCGTCCATCAGCAGAGAGAAAAGGAAATTCAGCAACACATGGCGGTGGCAGCTGCTCAACGAGAGAAGGAACACCAGGAGCATCGTTTAGCGGTACAACAACAAAGAGAAAGAGATCTGCATATGCAACAACAACAACAACAACAGCAGCAGCAGCAGCAACAGCAACAGCAACTTCAGCAGCATATACAGCAGCAGCAAAGGATGGAGGCTGAAAGAAGGCACATGGCTCAATTGTACAGAGATCAACAGCAGCAGCAACTAGACAGGGACGCAAACAGATTGATAAGCAGCGGATTTTCACAATCCTCCAGGCATCAACAACCGCAGCAGCAGCAGCAGCAGCAGCAACAACAGCAACAATCGTCGTCTAAACAGAGTCAGTCCTCCAGTCAACAACAAAATGAAACGGGATCTACTTTAACCGCCGCCAGTCTGATAGACGCTATTATAACTCATCAAATTAATCAAAGCGCCGAAAATACTGGCGGAAACTCTCAACCGCAACGACCTGGCGATCGCCTTTTTCAGGTAACGTAGCGTCTGTTCGAGGCTCGGGTTTCGTGCACGCGAATGTATTCGATTCTACGATTGAAAACGTTTCAGGGATTTCATCGGGAAGTTCCAGCGGAACCCAATGGGATGGCCCATAGTCCCGCCGGCGAGGGAAACGGTGGTAACAGCGGATCGGGAAACACGGGTGGCAACGGAAGTGGAAATAAACCGATTACTCTTGGAGAACACGTCGATCATATTGTTTCTACAGATTACGGCCCTTCACATTCCTCGTACAGATCGTACACCGGGTAAGTAATCGATGGAATGTAATTTAAAATCTCGCGGTTTTGTTAGAAATGTTGTACAAATGGAATATATTTTTTTGTCGGTTAGGTATCAAATCTCGGAAGATCAATGGAAGAGACGGAAAGCCAACGAATCCAATTCCGTTAAAACTGGAGACGAACGTCAGATAATACGTGTCACGCAGCAACAATCGCAGCAGCAACAACAACAGCAGCAACAACAGCAGCAGCAACAACAACAGCAGCAGCAGCAACAACAACAACAACAACAACAACAACATCACCAACAGCAACACCAGCAGGCACCATCCTCGGTAGGAAAGCAACAGTTCCATTCTGTTGAACCCGTTTCGCCCCCGGAAGCAGGTACCAACCATTACGGACGTCGCTTGTACGAAACAACCACTGCCACGTCAACTTCCGGAACTCCTTCCAATAAGCCGCATCTCTCGCCGTTGGATTACGTTAAGAATAAGATTGTCGAAGTTATGCGTACATCCGAGGACGATAAAGGTGGCGGCGCCGCGGGTGATAGGAACGGTGGGAACGCGACCGGCGGGGAAAAGGACGAAAAGATGGGAGGGAACGTCGAGAGTCCTTCCAGCGGTGAAATGATGGTCGACGAAACGCCGAATCAAGCACCGCAACCGCCTGCACCCGCTCCTACCACTACCTTTTATCCTTTTAGTGCGTTAGGCGTGCACACCGGCCCGCCGCCGGCGCCACCGCCTCCGACATCCGGATCTAGTTCTGTGAAGACCGAACAAATGCAAGCTGAACCGGCACCGTTGCTTTCCGCGCAGTACGAACCACTCTCCGACGAGGATTGATAGTCTAATAATCTAGCGACGTACAGATCAACTTGCTGTGACAACTTTCTTAGGGTATTTATACGGTTTGTTCAATCTCGACGAAAGTTTTATCCAGGCGACGATAACGATCGAATATTTCGTAATTTACCAATGTTTTCGGGCGTCAGCCATTACGTTCTTACTGGTCGTCAAATTCTCATCCTAATCGAACAGAGATTCGTTTCTCCTTTCTGTTTCGTTGTCTTCTTCTTCTTCTTCTTCTTCTTCTTCTTCTTCTTCTTTTTCTTCTTTTCTTCTTCTTCTTCTTCTTCTTTTTTTTTTTTTTACACAAACTTTATCATATCCCGAAACGGAGATTACAGTACGATGTTTTAGAGTTTGTTTTATAATCTTCATACTTTCATCGTATTTTTAGTCAAAGATCATTCCCGCGTTACGTGAAATAACCGTTTTTACAAAAAAAAAAAAAGAATGCATTACTTCTAGTGCTCCCCGCAATCCTTTCGCCATTTTGTTCGAACGTAACGGTAGTGTAATTTTAATCGATAATTAATATTTTTTATGCATTACTTACCTCCGCGTTGATGTGTACTAAAAAGAAAAAAAATAATCTGTATGATTACCTGCTAGATTAAATATAATTATTCCTGTTTCCGTCGCCATCTTTTTTTTTTCATTTTTTTTTTCTCGTAACGAAGCGTTTTTTCTTTTTTTCTTTTTTTTTTTAAATACTTTTCGTTCTTCCGATTCATCGTCGGTAAATAGGAAACGCAGAATTTTAATTTTAAAGCGTTATCGAACAATTTGTACAGACTTAGCTATAAATTTATTAAATTTTCTGTACGAAGTCATTACGTATCGTGATATTTAATTTTTAATATATTCGAAGGAATATTAAACGATATGTAAGGAGAGCCCCGTAAACGACAAAAGAAAAAAACAAAAAAAAAAAAAAAAAACAAAGGTGTTTTTCCATACTCTCGATGCGTTGATAATCTTTATAGACCAAGTATTGTTTCACGTTCACGTTCATGATGCACAGTACACACACATACATCGTTACGCAAATTTCCATTCCTTTTCTCGATTAAAATTCTTTCGATCAGCGGGTTGAGTCTGAGGAGACTAAAGTTTCTTATATATATATATATATATATATATATATACATATACATATATATACACGCGTAGAAGAAAAAAAAAAGAGAGAAATGAACGCGTGCGTATATATATATATATATATTTATATCGACCTGTGGAACGTCCAGGCTTGCCCAAGTTCACAATGGAGACGCTTTTTTGTACATAATGAATTATAATGTAATCGTTAAAACGACAATGCAGCGCTAATGGCATACGTGTTTTTATTTGGAATGAGTCTGTGATGTGTCTGGGATTAAAAACCTCAACTATTGTACCAGTGCGACGAGTCGATCTCCAATAACGTGCGGAGTTAGGTCGGGCGCGACAAGGGACCTCGTACAACGCATTCTCGCGCACGGTGGACGACGCGCTTGTTCACGCGCGATCGGGTGAGATGTTCTTCTCCTTGGTGAAGTGGGTTTTAAATGAAAATGGAAAAAAAGTGTAATTCTAAGTGTTGTACATAGTACACAAAATATTAATTTCTAAGTTGTGCAAGTAGGTATATGATGGCTAGTTTGTCGTATGCTATTGTAAGAGTCTAGATTTAGCATAAGTGACGTAGCTAGCATTTAGGGGTTAGACGCCATGAACTCTGACTAAGGGAGAACCTTCCCGAACCTACGTTCTCTTAATTAATAAACATACAGAGCGATCGAATAACGATGGAATCGTTCGTCGGCGAATGGATATATATGATTTTATTTGATTCTGAAACGAAAATACCCGATTGTACGCTCTGACTATCAAGGATACATTACGCGATCGCACCGTATCACACACACGTCGGTGAACACACATATGTGTACACGTAAAGAATTTTTATATTAGCCTAATTTTATATTTGTATGCAAACAAAACGTATGTTCAATCGTGCGGTCCGCTCCCTCGTTTAGTCATGCAATACTCGAAACAAGCCTTAGTACTCGACACAAGGATTGCTTTTTATTGCAAACATTGCCGCACCGTAAGTCGCTTTTACCAAAACATTTACCGATAATATACATACGTACATACAAGCATGTGTACGTGCCCCGCCCCCCGTCTCTGCGTGTTTGCGTATGTATGAATTCATGTATACGTTAGGCATACGTATGTGTACGTGTACCATCTGTGCGTTTCTGTATGTATGA